TTTTAAGGTTGGAAAATAAAATCGAAAGAATTTCAATAAAAGTGTCAAAGAGCGTTTATGCACTCTTGTTCGATCAGGAATTATGATTAGATATCGTGCATTCACAGTCAACAATACGCGTACAATTGAGCTAGAAACGGTAATAATTTTCAGATTTGTGCAATAATACTTAACTTGCAGACTCCGTCAACAATTTTATCGTTCCAACGCGTAAAGTTAAATTACAAAAAATTGTACAAACGATTTTAATTGCAATTAGAATAGTTTTCACCATTAAATTGTGAGGAGAGATATTTGTTGTATAATATTTATTTATATCAAATGGCAGACGTTTTGATAGTTATCATTAGCAATTTAGTTGACTTTAGGCTTCACAGAGGGGAAGGAACATCAAAGTGACAAAAAAGTCAAGAGGGGGGACAGAAGAGTGTTTCAAAGATATAAAAGAGACAGACACCAAGGTAGAAAAGGTGAGGTGAGTACTGTTGAGGTAGTTGAATATGACATATATTGGGGTGCCATTAGTTTAAAGTCAGAAGTCAACTGTCGGTTCATATACTTTTTTTGTCGAATGAGTATACGTTGCCCAGGGTGCACCACGTGGAGGTAAGTCTATCGCACACCCCTGTTGTATAATATGTTAGTCTCCAAGGATAAAATTTACGAGAAATGTAACAGTTGATGCGATTGGCAAAATATTCCATTTTGCAGAAAGGAAGGAGAAAGTTAGGTTCTTCATTAGGGCGTCTTCTATATGACTTCTTTATATCCACTTCCTTTAACAAAACGGTGAGCGATACGTAAAAGTCGGTATCAATTGTGGATATGTTGAATTTATGGCTAACTCATGAAATCTACGCCACTTCACTTCTTCTTCTTCAGTACCGCCTCACCCTTCAAGACTGATCGGCCTTTTAACCAAAGTTTTTTTCTGGTAATTGTGAATGGTTTACACTCAAATCTTTAAAAATTAACGATGATTGAGCTTACATGACGAGGTTTTGAAAATGACCTTCAAATTCCTATTCATAGTCAATTGAGTGCTGCCTTGACCCTAAATGAATCTTATTTGTCACTAAGGTGTAACAGACACGGTAACTAGTCGATTGATTTCGTGACGTGATATGCATTATCGCCTATTCGTAACCTGTTACAACTACTGGCTGAAAGGCGAAGTCAACAATGATTTTTTAAAAATAAAAGTGTCCATTTACTGACTAACACTACCGCGAATCATTTATCATGGCTCTTTTGCATAACGACCATGATTTCTTTCTGTCTTTGAGGCACAAACAAGATTTTAGATATTCAAATTTCCTTGAAAAAATTGTAATAGATTTTGTGATTCAAGAGGTATCTTCTAATAGCATATTTTTAACATCTTTTTTAAGTAGACTAAAGTAATTATTGCTTTGTTGATTTTGAAATATTTATTTATGTCAATTTTTATTTAATCGTAACTTAACTTATTTAAATGTATATTTAAATTAAATTTTTGAATAAAAATAACCGTTCGCCATGATCAACTGCAAATGAATAAAAAATAACAAATGAAAGTAGCCAGTAGTTTATTTTCAAATTTTAAGACTTGTTTACATAAGACCTCGTTTGCGATACCTAACACCGCCATAAAGATAATCAAGGGATCGTCTAGCTGGTATCTTCCTTGCCAGAAGTTTGGTCATTTGAATGAGTTCCTCTTTGGAAGGATCTTTGAGATCATCCAACTGGCTCTCATCAATGGAGGATATTTCTTCCAAAGTACTGAGAGGAAGGTGATCGGCATGTGTTGTTGGGAGAACTTTCTAGGAAATAAAGTGCTCAAAATAGTTTCTTCATAAAAATTTGTATAAACACTTTTTTTCTCAAAATTGGAAACATCGAATTCAATTCCTAAATTGCAGATTAATTGTTAATTTTCTTTTAATTTTGGCTTGATAAACAGGTGTATTGATTTCATTTCGAAATATCCATCTTTTTTAGATAAATTTATAGAATACTTGAATAAAAGGAAGCTAAATTTTTAAATTGGCATTTGGAGAAATTGGTCTTTCAAATACTGTCCAGTAGAATCAGCATTTGTTAAATTCTCGATTTACTGCTGGTATATTTTAAGTCACATTTTTGATATGTCTACTACCACTTTGCATTTTGAGGGAATTTTATTTAGCTTTAAAATTCCATCAATTTTAACAAATTTCAAATGTTAATCACAGCTAATACTTGACATCATTTAGAATTAAATTTCTTATCATTCAAAACAAAATGTTTAAACTTACTGCCGAAGATTGTGAAATTGTTCCCAACATAACAAGAACTGAAAAGAGAAGGAAAATTGAATGCTGTACAAATGATATTTTCAAATTTTAAAAAATTTGCTAATTGTTTTCTTCCTTAAATTGTTCAATAACTTACGGAAAATCATTGCACAACTGGCTTTTCCATAAATATTTGCATATATCATGGTACGAAACGACTAAAATTTTTTGAACTGTTTAAAAGAGAGAAGTTTTCAAATTAGAGAAGTTATATACTTTTTCTTGTTAATTCCTCATTTTTAATTGGCTACAAGCTATAATGGGTTTTAACTGAAGAAAAACCTCAAAATAACCTGATTGGTTATTTTAAATGGATCTTACAATTTATTGTAAATTGGGACTGAAAAAAATGGATCACCACCGGAATAGATAATTTTTCAAAAAAATCTATCTAGGCGATAATGATTCGCTCAATTTTGACAATGGAACTCAAAATGAAGAAATGGCTCCTTCAAAATATAGCTGCTCGAATTAGACCTATTTCTGGTTTACCCAATTAAAGAAATAAAAACAACATATGGGATTAATAAAAATTTCCATTTCAACTGCATCAGTCGTTACTACTATAGATTTCAAATATGGGCCATCCAATATAGTTGCGGTTCTTTTTTTCCTGTAGGAACATTCATGAACACTGCCGTTTCCGGTCAAGATAACTTGGCTTTAACTAGGGCACCAGTTATTTCTTCTTTAATTAGTCTTTGCGCACATATTAGAGGCACTGTAAAAGCATTACTACTCAGAAAGCGCTGAGCATCACAAGGGATGAATTGGGATGTTCAAATTTTGGAATTTTGGTGAATATTGCACATTTCGAGACCAAAAATCAGATGACGCAAAATGCTGATACCCTAGCGTTATTCATTGCATCTTTTTAGATCCCCTACAATTTGAAATTTGAAAACTTAACTCCACTTGAGGATCAACACGCAAGGCTTTTATGAATGACTGTGCTGAAGAAAGTTCATCCGTTTTAAGTCGTCATAGCCCATTCAATGTCAGAAGAAAGATTTCATCTCCCTTTTCAAGGTTCAAAGAGGTGCCACTCGCATTTGCAATTGAGTATTATCATTTATCATTACTAGATAAGGCATATGGTTATGCATATGCCATCTTTAAATTCTTATTTATTAAATTAAAGACAATTTTCATTGGCAGGAAGTCACCATAGTTATTACAGTTGCTTGAATTTATGGTGGAGAGAGGTTAAGTGAAAATCGAGTGATATTTAATGCGAGGCGTGGTGTATTACTGATACGTGTAAGAATCTTAAATTAACGTTCAATCCAAATTCGAGAATATAACCCTGAGTCCTGACCTTTGTCACAAACCACAAATATAACGTGAAAGACTGACCAGCACAAGTATTCAGCTGCCTATAAATACTGAACACCTTGGAAACTTGAACCGCCCAGTAAACCAATGGAAGATTTGTGGAATTTGAGTTATGGAACGCGAAAGATAACAAGGAAGCAATCTTTGCGCAAACTTTGCACGGATTGAAACTGTTAAACAAATGAAACGAAATTTGATAGCCTTCAATCTTCCACAGTGTACTTCCAATTGATATTTTAAGAATGAAGGACCAACGAATTTGATGCCTAAAATAAAACAATAATATGAGGACTGACACCGTCTCTGGCACGCCTGCTACCGCCTTCTTCTGCAAGCTGTCAATGGGACTCGGGTAATGTGCAACCCCCCAGGCTAAATGAATTTCGCCCACACTATATTGTGTAATTCACCTTCAATGTACACTCTAACCACCTCTCCTTCTGATTACCTGTCAATTCTGACAATCCTGATCACCATTTTATTACCTCATCTTGTTGCATGGTGAAAATCATTTCAATGTCCAGTAATAAATCCATTGGAATGGTTGAAAGAGATAATTTATCTGTTCTCTTATTACAAAATCTGCTTTCCTGATCGTGTTCTTCAAAGAGGAATTCCGAAATCAGTCATTATTTCTTGAATGCGTGCTATATTTTCCAATTGGTCGATCATCTGAACGTTTATTTTGACAAACCCACCAACCAATTTATTTTCATGCCAATGGCGTCCAAAAGGTTAATAAGACACCCTTATTTGATGAGAGATTCGAGGTAGTGGATTTGAAGGCCGATTCTCTGGTCATTCAACGCTCTTTTATTTGTATACTTAATCGGCTTAAAGCCAACATAAAGAAGCTCCTTTTCTCTTCCATACGGAAAGCCGTATTGGGAGTTTGTGCTTAATCACTTGATGCCAGCGGTCATTTTGGGCTGTTTCTGGTTTCCTTATTGTTGAGTTGTCAACAAACTAAAAACAGTCATGAATTCAGTCCTGCAGAATGCCCAAGCAATCAATCAAACCAAAGATATTTGTTGTCGAGACTTATTTGGGGTCGTAATCATTTATGAGGTTTGCCACGAAATATCCACAGACAATTGTTCATGCTAAAAGTTTCGCCCAGAAAAGGATAACTAAATTTATAGTTACAAATGCAGTTGCTGTCGCCAAATGTAAACGCATGCATTCGCTTTGCTAACCAGGAAATAGTTAATGCGCTCATGAGACCCTGGTTAGAAGTCAACGGAAATGAATCAGACATTTCCCCTTAAAATTAAACATACAACGAATGTCACGTTAAAACATGCTAAGACGGGTACATAAGTGAGCGTGCGCAGAGAGTTGGTCACGAAAATAGCACAATCTACAGACTTATCAATGGTGTGAAAATGAATATACTAAATACGATTGAGAAAGTAACTCCGGATGAATGGGCAAGAGCTTCCAGAGGTATAGAAGCGTGGACAACTGGTCTTTTTTGTATCTCATTTGCTACCTTATTGGTCTCATTTAAGGCACATCTTATTTAAATACCTTTTTCATGAATAAAGCTATTGCTTTTCGTATAGAAATGCGCTTCAACATAAAAATTGTTATTGCATGACAAGAAATAATCGGGAGCAAATTAGTTTAATACCATTTAGTTCCCAAAGCGCTATGTATTTGCAATTATGTTTCACGAAGGAAATATATTGAAGATTAATTTATGAGCAATCCAAAAAAAGCCAGATTATCAAGTTCTTGGTATCCAGGGCTGAATAAATTAAAATTTTTTAAATTCCTGTTTGTAATCTCCATCATTCGCCAATTCTGTGTCATCCATTCATTTAATCTTCAGAATGTTTTATACAGATAGTGTTCCTGAATATCTAGCTTAAAATATCACCAATCAAACTTCGAATTTAATTAAGCTAATACGCATGAACGCTGTTTTTGTCAAAACTGATCTTTTCGTTGGAATTGGAAGACTGGATATACTTCTGAGTATTAGTGATGACACACTGAAATATATATATTATTGAGAAAACATATTAATCGGATGATTTCACCATTGAAAAAATTCGTAAATAATTATCATGCAAACGTTATTTGAGAATTTAAGTTGTTAAAGATTAGAGTAGATGTTTTTTCGAACTAAATATGCACTGGGTCAAATCGGACATTTAATATATACCGGAATCCATATTAATCAATTTCTCATAAATTTTAGACACTATGAATATTAATTCACCATGAAAAGCGTACGAATTAATCAATTTTTAAAATTTTAGGTGGTAGAGTATATAGACCCAGTGCAAACCATTGGCAAAAATATACAACTACAACTAATAACCTAATGAAAGACATATAAATCTATCGTGTTTTGGTCTTATTTACAGATTCAAAAAATGTCCTAATTTCAACCCTTTATATTGTCTAAAAGAATAATTAAATACTTAAGGCATTTAACAATATACATTCTAACTTTTAAATTAGTTTCTTATATAATCTTTGCGCCTTAATTCTATTACTGTTATTAATATTTGGATATATATATATATATATAAAACCGCACAGCCACGCGCCAAACTACCAATCAGATAAACGCACATCTTCCGAATTTAACTCACTTCCATAGATAACAGCCAATCAAAGAGGCGATGCTGATAAAATAAGTATAAAATTAGCACTATCTGAATTTTAAAATCCGTTATAAAAATTTGCAGGCTTTTCATCAATCTATACATAATGGTCTATGCTAATATTTACGGCAAGTTCGTAATAGCATCAGTATTCTGTGAGTCTAGCCAACTTCTGTTTATTGTTCATGCAAAAATTTAAAATTCGATTTGGTAAAAATACATTATATTATTAATTTTTGATTAAAAAATGCTTATAGACAAGAGATTGTGCGTTTATTTAAATTTTGTCCTACTTTTTAGTTATTATCTTGTGTGCTTCAGTCACCCCGTCGGCTGGAGTAAGTCAATAGATATCAAATTAAGATTTAATCCCTTTAAAAATCACTGAAGGGTAAACATTAAAATAACTTTCTTTCCTGCAAACTATATTATTTCCTTTTAAATTTCCATTTTGTTTCAATTTATATAATGTAAAATTTTATTTAAATTTAAATTTGAGTTACCTATGTTCAAAAGTGATTTACGATTGAGCAAACAAACCACATCTGTATTATCTAATGTGTTTTCATATTTTCAATCCTGAAAAAATGGTTAATTAATTTATTCCATTTCCAGTAAATCAATGTAAGTCTTTGAAGGATAAGTTTGGAAAAAAGAATATTGCGAAATTCAGAATTATGTGAAAAAATATTAATTCCTGATGATTAAGCACTTTATTTCATAACAAATAATTTAATTGAGTGCTTTGAAACCTTATGTCTAACAGTTTAAGGAATACAATTTCCAAATCTACGATATAATACGACGAAAAATTTGAAACGGAATTAATTTCAAATATTACTTTATACGTTTGCTTATTTAGCAACAGAGTTTGTGGTTAAATATTAATTTTTTGAAAACTCATTTTGCTAAATTTTTGCTTTAATGATTTTTCGTAATTTTTGCGGTATCTTTTAAAGGACTGTATTCACCGCATAGCTGATCATATATGAGTAAAATTATAGGTATTCAGTTAACTTAAAATTAAGAAAATTAGTGAATATGCTAAAAATGATTTCACCTTAACCGCAAATTCCTCACCACAATTCCCTCTAAACCAACCTAATGCTCCAATTGGTGTGTAGGGGCAAATTAAATTGGTAAAATTTGGTATTATCTTCAACTAAACTCCCCATTTTAAGTTACGCTTAAATTAAGGTTAGATCAAGGCAATAAGTACGAATGAGTTTTATTTTAACGGATTTATTAAAATTACTTAAATATTTTTTTATGGTTTTTTTTTAAAATTTCCTTAAACTTTGCAGAGTGTTCTAAAGGAGAGAGGATTCATTCCATCCCAGAGTACTGGCTTCCTCTCTCCCAACGCCCTGGAAATTCTGTCCTCTTATGAAGATGATTTGCTAAAGGACGTAAGTGAAATTCAAAAGAACGAGCTTTTGGAACTCCTGAAAGAATTCGCCCAACACCGAACCGCCAAGAGGGCACTCGATTATCTTTACGGTGGAGTGAGATATCGAAAGCGTCGAAGTGTGTAGAAACTGTTTATTTGACTTTAAGTATCCAAATGCTAGTTTTCGGTTTTGGTCATTGTCATGTAATAAATACACTGTGATATTTAAAATTTACCTTAAATATTTACTTTGTTATATATCTTAGCTTTTTACAAGCAAAGTATATTGGCATGAAACAAATATTTCATTGATTTGCAACAGATGCAAATAATATATTTGCCGATCAGAGCGAATTCTGTCATTATCTAACTAATATCTAATTTTCAACTTTTGTACTTTACCTGATTGTTCAACTAAACGCCCCTCCCCCTTCCTTAGAAATTTAATCTAAAGGTCTTGAGTGGTCAAAATTCCATTTATGATATTATATGCCCCATCACCCAAAATTTCAAAACCATTGATATAATATTAACAATATCAAGTTGCAAAACTATAACTAAAAGCCACTAAAAAGAAGAACATAAGTTATAGCGAAGGACAGCATATTCTAATCGGGGGGGGGGGGGAGGGGGTACAAAGAATACATAACCTTTAATCATACTTATTAATTTTTTGCCAAATGACCAAACATACGATTATAATAAGGTATTATCTTTCATAAATGCATGGGATTATCTAATCGCACAAATCGAATGAACATATAAACTAAGATTACATTTAAATCAAAAAGAATAAAAACTCGTTTGTGGAAGATAATCCTTATAATGGCACTTAAATCATCGTAAATAAAATACTGGCGATGTTAAAACTTTAACTAATATAAGTAGTATTTGACCTTGCAGAGTAAATAAGATATAAAATTTTCCCTTAAAACTATTTCAGATCAAAGACGAGTACAAGCAAATAAAGTCTTAGAAAAAAACTTTTTTCGAAAACACATTTTATCTAACATGGATCTGAAGGGAGCTGGTAAAATTTTGATATGAAATATATGGCCAAGGAAAAAAGGATAAATTTGATAGAATTTAATGTAAACAGTTTTCAAATATTTAATTAAAATTATGTCGGTTTGTCACAGCGTACACAAATTTTCAACTAATTCAATAATAAGATAGTATTTTAGCTATGTTGATGGTGCCTAAAACGACATTTAATTAGTAAACCAGATTTATACAAAATTTAACATCGTGGTATTTCAGTACGAAAGTGTTTTTGAAGAATGAATTTGAGTGACGTATATGTTTATTAGTAATTTTGAATACGTTCACCCAAAATGTTGGGTAGGAAAATGCTAACATGATTAAAATGCAATTCTTCGAAATGTTTGCGTGAACAGACCATATTGGGTGAATCCTACTGATCTTTGCAGGCTTCCAGTGTATGGAAAGATCGGTGAAGTAGGGATTAATCGATGATTGCGAAAAGGTAACTAATCAATAGGAAAGATCATTATTCTGAAAGCCCTCCAAAAGGACGTTAAACAATGTTAGAATTTAAATTCATCAAAAAATATGCAGGAAAAGTACCCATAACGCATCTTGAAACAAAGGAGTCGATATTTGAGGAATTAAATCAAGTATGATTCTTGAATCCTCTTCATTTTCATTTGAAACGAGTTCTTTGAAACCAATTCGAGGGGATACTCTAAACAGATTTTGGTGAGATAGAAGGGTGGAATTGGAACTTTAACCCAAAAGGTCATTTTATTTCCCGAATTATCAAACGTTGCAATCATCCGTGTGTAAGGTGCGTAAGAGGGAATTTAAGTGTATACAATCGACAAAGATATCGGCTATTTCTCAACTGAATTATGCTGAGAAGTACCGCTTATCACAAATCAAAGTGCAGTATTCTTGTTGGTAGAATAGGCGGATGCAACGAGACTTCGGGAAGAATGAGAAGAGCTCTCATGAAATATGAACCTACACCTTCCGAGTGTTTGGACGATTCCCCATGAGGGCAAGTTAAAAAAAACATTTCTTACAACTCGATGTGAAATTTAGGACTCGAAGTTAAGAAATATATTTTTTTAGGAATTGTATACACGTATCTAGTATCTAGTATCTGAGATCATGTGCCTTAAATAGCAATCAACCGTCAATGGCATGTAGTCATTAAAGCAGATTCGTGCGTATTAAACTGCCATATAATATTTCCAGACGTCGGTAGACGCAAAGATATCCCTGTATAAAGTCTCTGGTTACCACGAATTAACCGCTGAGAATTATTCTTTGCTCTATATACCTTTTATGTCTTTAAAAACAATGGGTCATATTGTTAGTACATTAAGGAAGAATAGAAATCGGATGAGAAAAATGTGTCTCCCTGGTCTCTATTCATTCAATTAATGCTTTATTAACATTCATGAATAAATTTTAAAAACTTTTATGGCTTTATTAATTTAAATTAATGAGAAAGTTATGTATAGATTGCTGATCCTCATTTCTTGCTGTTTGCTAAAATACGTCATTCCAGTTAGCACAAGGCACAGTGAAAAATGATTTGTGAAAACAAGTGAAGCCATTGTTTCTTACGAGAAATTGCATACATATTTTAAGGCCGTTCCCATGTATTCTGCTTGATAGAATCGCACGACAAGAGATCTTTAAAGGAACCAGATTTAAGGCAGCTAAGTGAAACCAAATGATTGGATTTTTGGATTATAAACATCAAAATTTGAGATGAAAGCAAAAAAACGAAAGTCAAAATAAAGACTAAAAGAGATTTCTATTATCGGAATGTTTCCATCAAAAAACCAACTTTGTGTACTCTAAACGATCTTTAAATGAGCTAAAATTAATAAATACAATACTTGATCCAATAAAAAACACTGATGTTTAATATACTGACAAATTTTGAACATTAAAAGTATAAATGTATCCAGAGATTAAGTTCAGAAATTGTCGGAATATCTTAAGCATCATGACGATCTTATAAATTGGGAATGCCTCTCTGAATGTATTTCATGTATAAAATAATGTAATCGAAAGATCACTATAAGAGTCTTCATGCATGTAGTTACGGGAGAATTTAATTGCCTAAGGCAAGCATTTCTGAACTGATTTTTAGTAACAAAGACTTGGAAATGCTAATATGAAAAAGATTGAACAAACATAAGATAAACGAACCAAGTTAATTATTTAAATTAAGATAGCGTTGATCACAAGTTAAGTTGCATTTCGATTCGATAAATAAAGATCAGATTTCGCCTTATAAAAGAAATTGTCTTGTTGCCCAATAGGAAGCATAAGCCTTTGTCAAGTGAGAAAACCGGGGGTTCAGGGTGAATAGTTGCCTGTTGAACAACTAAAATTTTAAATAAGAAAAAGCGATTAAAATGCCCTCTTAAGATACCGGAAGCGTTTTAGAGCAATTCAATATTTTTCAAGAGGTTAAGACATGGCTGAAAATGGGTAAAATTGCACTAGAAGGGTTGATAAATTGGCACAGAAGTTTTAAATGAGCTACATTTATCGACGGCTCAATTTCAGGCTTAACACACATTTCATAAAAAAAATGTCCATTTTATTCATTATAATTAATTATTCTTGGCACAGGCTTTCTACGCATAAAGAAAAATGACAAAAAAGTAGATAAATCAATTAATTTACTCCCACAATAATTTGAAATTGGAAATTGATGAAAGAGGATCTAGATTTACGAAGGCTTATTTATGATGGTTTACTTCCCGCCAAGATCGATTTTGGAGTTATACTACGTGGTGTCCAGGTGACGTAGTATGGCTTGCGATAAATAACAATATGTTATGAGGTAAAATTATTTCCACTCTGGTGCCTGTGATGACAATAACCCCTCCCCAAACGAGCAACTAGCCATTTAGTTTCAATAAAAAACTATTGAATAACCATCAAAGGGAGTCTGTGGTATTTTAAACATGCTTCACCTTGACACTTTGGCAGAGAGGATGAATCTCATTGGGTTCTCGGCAAATTAGCTATTGGAATACAAAGATCATAAACTAGGATTTTTTCATCTTCTAAACATGCATGAAGAAAGCATTACCTGAGGTGGCACACTCGAAAAAAGCTGGACAGTATAAGCACATCGTGGAAGAGCAATTACTAGGGTATTTGGAAATATGAACGTTTTGAATACAAACTTCCCGTTTGGCAAATAGTGCACAACCCGAAACCAGAAGAGAAGTGAACCAAGACTCAAGAAAATAAAAATCTTATTATTGGGACAGTACTGTGGTTACTAAACATAATAGCTACAGCAATTCATATTTCCCTTAAAGAAAAACCCTTGAGTTCAGTGATTGTTCATACATAAGCTTTTAATTATTAGATCTAAGGGCCTCTGGAAGCATCGACCATTTGACTTGAAGTTTGTATTGCTTGAACATTCCGTATTAAGGAATACTATACCACCATGAACATATACCATAACAAAACTACCGTGGAAACCTAAACACTTTCCTACACATTCCTTTCAAGTAATTAGTCGCCACGTCCTAGATGTTGTGAAGGTATAATTCACCTGAATTTTTATAATTTTTCATCTTATTTAGATATTAAATAAATGAAATTTTGTGTCTCTCAATCAAAATGTCAAATATCGTGATGGGTTTATGGATAATTTGGGAAGTTTTAATTAACTGAATAACTAATCCATGTGGCCCATCTTAGCAGTTCAATTATTATAATTAATTTTGAACTGTACCAATGAAATAATTAATTAATTTTCTTGAAGTATAAATAATATCTTGATATATACGGAATCACAAAAATCTTCAAAGACTATTTCTAATTTTTAAAACTATTTCAAAAAATTCAAATGGGTCCTTTGATTGCACAAAAAATTGGGTTGATTTTATTAATGTTGAGAAAATTATAAGTTGAGCAGAAGATGTAACTCTTCTACTCTTCAAATTATTCAAGCCAAGAAAAAGTTGTCGCATGGTTTGTTGCGTGAGAATGGAACATTTTCTACACAGTTATCTTTACCTATCGGTTTGGCAAGTTTTATTAGACCAATTTTAATTAAAGAAACCGTCAACCTTTTTGAATGGTGAGGCAGACCTAATGGAAATACTTTTAGTCGGTTTCAAGACTGTTTCATCA